TTAAGGAAGAGACAAGGCTTTGTCAAATGTTATTTATGATTGATCACATCTTTGTCAGCACACAATTACCTGCTTGTTGTTGGTTATTTTATTTTTCTCTCTCTCTTTTTTTTAAAGGCAATTAGGGCTAAGTGACTTGCCCAAGGTCACACAGCTAGTATCAAGTGTTTGGTCTGAGGTTGGATTTGAATTCAGGTCCTCCTGACTTGAGAGCCAGTGCTCTATCCATTGCGCCACCTACCTGCCCTGGTGGCTAAGTTCTGAAGGGCTTTAAGTCCAACAGAGGAGTTTGTATTTGATCCTAGAGGTAACAGGCAGCCTTATGAATGTCTCTTTGGATGGATTGGAAAGAGGAGAGAGACTTGAGTCAGAGAGACTAGTTAGGAGGCCAATTTAGTTAATAATAGTGCATGTAAAGGGTGTTAAGTCCCTGAACTAGGATGGTGGTTGTGTGAGTGGAGAGAAGGGATGAGAGATGTTAGAGAGGTGGTATCAACAGGATCTGGCATCTTATTAGATTATGCAGGGTGAAGGAAAGTGAGTAGTTAAGGATGATTCGATTAGGGGAATAAAGGGGGGGGGATGGGGAGCAGACAGTTCTGTTTTGGACATGCTGAATTTGAGATGCTGATTTTTAAGAGATATGTGCTCATAAAAGGTACACTGTCCTGGAAGAGCAACAGAGGCCCAAGTTGATGATTGATTCTCCAAGCTGGGTGTTCATAAGTTGGACTCCATAAACTTAAAAAAAAAATGACAATTGTATTATAATTCAGTAATTCGTTTATGATTAATTTGTTTTGTAATCCTGTTTTTTATACATTTAAAAGCATCATTCTGAGAAGGGGTACATGGGCTTTGCCATTGCTAAAGCAATTTGTGATCGAAAAAAGGTGAAGATCCCTTGCCCTGAGGGTGGTGAGGTCCTGTTTGCAAATGACATCTCTGTTAAACCAAGTTTCCGAACCTTGTTCATCAAGATGTGTCTTGGACAATGTCAGGGTGGGTTGCCTTAAAGAAATTGCAAAGTTCTTTTAATGATCTCAAACCTCTCCCAGAAAAAAATGTTAATCTCTTAAAGACTGTTACTCCCCCAGCATTTTGTTTGATGGGGAGTCAAGAAACATTACTGTCTCTAAAGAATTAAAATGAGTATTACCCAGAAGGCAGTAAAGAGGTACATGGTAGATGTGGGGTAGAGATGCCATCAAAGAAATGTATATTTGAAAAAGACCGTGGGCTGACTACATAGCAAGAGCCAGAGACAACCTGTCCAAAGCTGATGTGCTCTGCTGGCATCCTCACAGTATCTGGAGAAAGCAAAGAACCCCTACCCCTCAGTAAAAATATAGGAGGACGAAGACAAGGGCCTGAACACCGGAGGAGCAGTATGGATGGGTTTGCATCATCAGAAGGAGTATCTACACCAATGATACTGGAGATCTATTTGAGGTTTTGGGTACATACGCTGACAAGTTCTGTCATCAACATTCAGGAGGGTGGCTAAGTCTTTATAGCATAATAGTGCAAGTTATTGCAGTCATCATCTAGCAGGTTCCTTAAGGTGGATATTTTTTTAAATTCCTTAGTCCTAATGTTGTCAGACACCTGCAGGGTCTCCCTGGAAGTAAAAATAATCTTACTAGTGACATTTGCATTAGCATATACAAACATTCATATTTACAGTTGTCTAAGGTGATAATATTTTTTAAAATACTTTGAACCTAACAAATTATATAGTATGGGTCCATTCTGGAGTCTAAGCAAAATTGTTTAGACCTCTTCATGTAATGATCTCATCTGTAACCTGATCTTGTGACATGGACCACAATAAAATGAGGCTTACTTTTGTTTTGTAAAGACTTTTCATTTTACTGTTTACTTTATCATTAATCTTAGTCACTTTTTTTTTTTGTAGGGAAACTTATGAAAAAGCTGGAAAAGTTGTGAAGATCAAAAACTGCTCTTTCTGCGGAGGCAACAAAAACATTTTGATTTTTTCAGACTTTCACATGGACAAGTGGAAACAGCAACTTTATGAAGTGGGACTGTCACTGGATCCTGGACCATTGTGCTCTTTGGGCTCTTGAAGTTTCAGGTCCAAAGAATAGTAAATTCCCTCAGAATTTACTCCAGGGTAGCCTTTCACCTACCTTGGCTTATTTTATGTACAGGCATACCATGCCTAAAGTTTATTTTTTCAGTGAAAACATAAGTTGAAATGACATCTTGACAGAACAGTACCATGGGTGATAAATGGAACAGTATTACTGTTTTTATGGGTATTTATAAAAAAATACAGAAGATATTGGTTATATTAAGAATGTTATTCAAAAATCACATTTATTAAGCAGAGCCCCCTTTTTAACAGTATCAGTTACTATTATTAAATTTCAATTCAGTAGGTAGAATTCAGAAATGACAACCTAAAGGAGAGAGTCTCTATTCCCGTCTCCTCTTTTCATTCTTTAAATGACTAAGCAGTAGATTAACTATTTTTGAAGGAAAACAAAACCAGAAATCTGCCTTATTACCATTGTGTATGGGAAAACTTATGGTGGTTTCAATTCAACCAATATTTATTTAATACCTTTATACAAACTACATAAACCAGACAAAAATGAAAGAAAGCATTGAGACACTTAAGGAGTTTATATTCTACCCTCATGTTCTATAGCATGCACACAAAAAAAGAATGAAGTATTTTAGGTGAGAGAAAGAGAGAGAGCTCTGACCCATGCCTGAAATTTTAGCTGGAAGGATTTCTTCACAAAGCATCCAGGTATCCAGGGCTGTTTTTTTTTTCTTCTTCATGTTTTACTTGTGGATTATAACTTCAAACAGTTTGTTTCATTTACATTTTTTTCCCTTTATTTGATGGAAAGGCAAGACATGACTGTCTCTGCACTTTCTTGTTTTTAAAAACAAACCACAGTTCTTATGGGTGATGGTAGACATGTTTTTGTGATCCTTTTTGTGATTAAGTTGTTCTATAATCATCATAAAATATTTATCAAGTGCCTGTTATATACTAGGTGCTTATAACAGACCAGTGGGAAAAAATGAAACATTTAAGCTACCTTGACTTGACTTTTTGAGTATATGCCTAGTGAACTATATATATGTCATTCAAGGACCAATCTAGCTAAGGTCAGAAGGGTTCATAATTAAGATGTGGTCCCCACTTGAATTCATTTCAGCCACAGTAACTAATTATTAAAGACCATTTATTAAGGGTTGCCATCTACATTTGTTGAGGGAGCATTTATATAACATGATAAAATAATGGATTCTGGAACTATAGAAAAACCAGGCAGGCCAGACTTATTACACTATGGAAAGGGTAAAGTACTCCTTGTAAGTACCCCCATCACATTGGAAGCACTTAAAAATGAATGACTTGTTTGTTGTATTAAGGGCTTCTATGCATATTTCCAGATATTGGGCTCCATTTCATACCTTTACGATATGACTCCCAGGAGCAGTGAGGAAGCAGCTTATCAACAAATGCAAAGTTTATCTATACTTTGTTAGTGTGAAAACAGTGTTCTGCATTTGTAGAGTCTTTATCTCTTTAGTTTGTTGTGCCAAAATATTGTGTTCCTATCCCTAATGCTCTCCCCCATAAAAAAAGTGAGTGTGTGTGTGTGTAATATTTAAAGCAACAAGACAGCTGCTGGATTAGTGACCATATGACTCATTGCCTTAACTATAGGGAGAATAAATTTAGAAGATACAGAGGGATAATAAATTTAGAAGATATAGCTATTTGGTATTTCTCATCAAAGAGATTGTTCCCCTGTCTTCATTGGATGCACAGAGAATTATTCATTCTTTTGCATACAGGAACATAAATGGATTGGTTTGATCTGGATGAATTTGATCAGTTGTCATGTGGCATAGTTACTTTTCTTGTGAATTTATGGTTACTATTAAGTTTCCTGCCGGCAGTACAGGAAAGTAATCCATAATGGTGTGTTCCAAAATGAAGTTTACCCTTGGTAGATGCTCTTTTAATGAACAAGTAAATAGTATTTTCTGACAGTGTGTGTTAATGTGGGGAAGTATACCATTGTTTTTTTCAAGTTTCAAGGATCTGATGAGATCCTTAAGGAAAATAGATGGCCTTAACAGGCCCCAATCATACATTTCCTATGTGCTATTTGAAATAAAAAAGCCAGCAAAAAGGTGACATAGAGCTATCCTCAGACTGGTCTTCTAAGTCTGCATGGTTGTAAAAGAGTGTTGGCAAGACTTTAAAGTTTAAACCACATTCAGAGAAATGTGATGTTTTGAGGTGTTAGGGTTGAGAGATTATGTGGTGAAAGCTTGAAAGGAGTTTAGAACATTGTCGGCTAATAGTTGCAAGGGCTGTGTTTCTGTTGCTTTAACATGCATTTACTACTTGGCTATCTTTATTTGCCAACTCTTTGCTCCTAAAGTCAGTACAAGCCAGAGGTTAGTGGCAGAGTATATGCTTTCCTGATGTAATTGGTTTGGTTTGTTGCATTTAGGATCATCATAAATGTAACAAAAATCAGTAATCATCTTTAAGTTTAACATCTAAGGTTTTCCACAGGAAATTAAAATGGAGGATTCTGGTTTTGGTGCCAAGATGTTTTCCCAAAAAAATTGTGTTAAACTCTACCCAGTGTTAATATTTACATGTAAAGCTATGAGATGTGTCCAGAAACAGCAAAATACTTTGCTGCATGTAGGCATACCTGTGGTAATATTACAACAAATGGATACATGAATGAAAATCTTTAAATGCTTTATTTGAAAATACAAACATGATTTTTAAACATTTTTAAACTGATCTACACAGCAAACAAAAATAACTTTACATCTTTTTGTACATTTTACATGAAAACGTTCAAATAAACTTGCTGAAGACGTTCTATACCCAAATTCTTTGTGTACTGTTATGTACATTTCAAGGCACTACAACCTTATGATTTATGAAACTGAAACAAAAATCTCTCATCTATTACACACTCTCTTGCCATAGAGATAGGCAGATGAGGTGCCAAATTTGAAGCTGCTGTGACACTTTTGTTCATATATTTATGGAATGTGTCAATAACTAACCTTTCAAAGAGGAAGAAATAGAAGCCTTAAATGCCCACAACATATTAGTGCACATCACAGATCAAGTAACATTAATATGTTTTTAAAAAGCCAAGGAAAAAAAATCCCTTCTCTAGATAGTAAAAATATCCAGCCAGAATATTGAGTATAAATACTAACCAACTTCAGATGTTAAGTGAGTACTTTCATGATATACATCAATAAGGTAAACCCAATTTATGGAACTGCATAAATAGTCAGGGAAAACCAGTTTTTAAAAACTTAAATTTTTCCTGTTGTGTGCCAGGATGCTTAGTTTTCAAATTAAAGTATATCAATGACAGATTTTAAAATAAGACATGTACCACCATACTTTTTCTTTTTGCCAGGTGTATGAGGTTACAACTAAGATGTTAATTTATCTTTCCCTCTTTTAGGAGCAAAAGCACTAGAAATCCTAAACGAGGAACCTCTTACTCCTGGGTCATGGGTAGTTTTTCACAGCTTTTGAGCTCCAAGGTGTCAGTGTACTATGTATTAACTGGAAAGATTGGCGCATACTCATCTTGTAAGATAGCAGAGGCTTTATAGAACACAAAATTATTCCAATTAAGGAAATATGCACCATCTATAAATAAATATCTATTTTACAAACTTGAATACTGGATAAATACAAAATTATCATTCCATAAAAATGCACTTCATTTTCTTTAAAAGGTATTTAAATAATATTTTGTACCACAAAAAACTATTACTGTCTGGAAACAAAGCCACTGATCATTTCTGTTGTAGCAGACCTGCTGCAGTCTTTTCTATGTTGTCATAATCATAGTATCTCCACATCATCTTCATACTCATCCAAATCTACATCACCCAGAGGCGAAGGCATTTCAAAGAAAGGTCTTTTATCCAACTGAAATTTTAATGCATTGGCCTTCTGATCTATAGGACTCAGTTCTGCTTCATAACTGAAAGGAGAAAAGGCTGTGGTGAAGATAGACATTCAAAACAAAAACACCTACCTCATTCCTGACAATTTTATACATTTAAAGGTAGATTAGTTTTGTTTTTTTGTTTTTTTTTTTTTAAACAATAACCCTTTAAAACAGGTGGTGCAGTAAATAGTGGTGTTGGACTTAGCATCAAGAAGACCCAAGTTCAAATTTGACCTCATACTTACTAGCTGTGACCCTGAGCAAATCACTTAACTTCTCTGTGCCTTGGTTTCCTCACCTATAAAAGGGGGATAATAACAGCACCTACCTCACAAGGTTGTGAGAATTAAGATATTTTCAAAATGTTTTGCAAACCTTAAGGTGCTAATATTTACATAAAGCTTTTAAGTTGAATACTTCTGCTAAAATACCAATTTAGATAAAAAAACTTTTTAATTCTGCTTTATGATGTCCATATGGAGTATGAAAATTTAAATCTGCATTGTGAATTCAAGAATTAAAATTTTAACAAGTTTAAATTTGGTAGGTGGTAAATGGATCATACAGGTCCAAAATCAACGAACATTAAGTGCCTACTACTGCCAGGCACTATGCTAGGCATTGGGGATACAAAGACAATAAATGAAACAATCCCTACCTCTCAAGGAGTTTACATTCTAATGGGGGAGTCCCTAAAGTCTTAGTGTAGTTTTAATCTATTAAAACTCAAGCTATCAAAGCTTAAAACTACATTAAGACTTTTGGCACATCCTGTGTATAGGGTGTTAAATACAAGGTAGTTCGTGGAGGAGGGCTTTAGCAGTTTGGGGAGAGTATAGGAAAGGCTTTCTATAATAGAAGGTGGTGGCTGAATTGTATCTTTAATGAAGAGATTCTATGAGGTAGAAGTAAAGAGGAAGGGCATTCCATGTTTCAGTAGTAGCCAGTGTAAAGGCATGGAAATAGTAGGTAGGGTGTCCTGTGTACATAGAGATTAGTTTGGCCAAATCACAGACTTGAGCAGTGAAGTCACATATGGCAAGACTGGAAGAAGAGGCTGAGGCCAGGTTGTGAATGGCTTTAAAAGCTAAACAAAGGAATTTATATTCTGTCTCAGAGGCAACAGAAAGCAATTAGAGATTGAATATAGGAGTTACATAGTCAGATCTCTGCTTAAGAAAGATCATGGGCAATAGCATGGAAAATAGACTGGAGTGGTGACAAATAGGTGGTAGTGAGACCAGTTAGGAGGCTACTGTAATAATCTAGGTGATGAGGGCCTGAACTGAGTGGAGAGGCTGGATGAGTGATATTGGGGGGGGGGGTTAAAAATGGCAAGATAAAGCAACTTAGTAGATGTGTAGGGAGTAGGAGAGTAAGGGATTGAAGATAATGCTGAGCTTACAAACCTGGAGACTGGAAGAATCATGGTGCCTGTGATGAAATTGGCAAGTTTTTGTTGTTCTAAACTTTGCAAATGCCACAAAAGTGAACATTTCCATAAATAAAAAAAAAAGATTGCATATGAACCTATTACGTATGTACAGCAGCTTGTCTTTTTTTTTTAAAGTATAATAAATTCAATAGTTTCAAAGCTGTTATACTCATCTGTGTCTCCCTCTGAATTTTCCTCTTTTCTGTATAAGATATAGGATGTGTGGAAGAGGGATGGATTGGGGGGCGGGGAATGATAATGAGCTATGTTTGGGACATGCTGAGTTTGACATGTCTCTGGGACATTAAGTTTGAAATGTCTTACAGGCAATTGGTGATGCAAGACTGGGGCTCAGGGAGAGACTGGAGTTGTATACGTAGATCTTTGAGTTAAATGCATAAAAATAAACCCATTGAAGGTCCCAGAAAGAGCCCTGGGCAGCACCCTTACTAGGCGGGTGTGATACAGGTGATGAAATCAGGAAGGGAGAACAAAGAATGTTGGAAAGATAAGATGGTATGCAAACCACAGAAATGTTAACTGGAAGTCAGTGGTGGCAGAGAGGCAGTAAATAATTATTCAAGAGGCAGCATAGTATAGTGGAAAGAGCATTGGATTTTGAAATGAGGCCCTGAATTACAATCCTGTTTGTGTTACCACCTGTGCAACCTTGGGCAAGTCCCTTCAGCTCTCAGCTCTCACCTCCTCATTTATAATGAGAAGGGTGGGACTAGATGCTCGACATGGGTAATCCTGACTGAGGAAAGTAAAACTGACCCTTACAGTCAGAGACGACTGACTGAGGTTTTGTGTCTGGGGGACTAGGTGGTGCTATCAATAGAAATGGCAAAGTTCAGAGAAGGAATAGATTTCAGTTCAGAACTTGCTGCATTTGAAGACTAGGATGGAGTCCCAAGTGGTGATGGGAAGTCATGAATATGTGTCATATAGCAGAAGAATTAGAACTGTCCTGGTTGGGCCCTAGAAGGCAGAACGGGGAGTAATGAGGGAAGTTTCAGAGAGGCAATTTTAGGTTTCTTAGAAGGTAAAATTTCCTAACAGCAATCCAAAAGTAGAATAGGCCTTCCTTAGGAGATAGTGGGTTCCCATTTTTTTTTAGAGGTCCTGGGTTCTTCTACTTACTGCCTGTGTGACCTTGGGCAAGTCACAACCTCTGTGGGCTTTTTTCCTCCTCTGTAAAATGAGGAGATTAGACTAGGTGACTTTGAAGTACCTTTTCAACTTTAAGTAAATCTATGATTCCAAGATTCCCTCACCAGATATCTTGAAGTTGTATGACTACTTATCATTGAGGAAAAAGGGGATTCTTTATATGTTGAGATAGATGGCCTCTTAACTTCGTATCAATTCTGATTCTGGGGTAGGAGGAAACAGAAAAGAAAATAACAGAGAAGATAGAAGACAAGCAGATGAGAGCATGGAAACTGAAGGAGCAGGGGGTTCATCAAGAAAGAGGGAGGTGGTCCACAGTGTGAAATGCTGTAAAGACAGACAGTACACAAAGCAGGAAAAAGCACTGGTTTAAAGACTTAGTGAATGATGAGGGAGTGGATACAGTGAAGAAACTTTTTTTTTCCTAAAAGTTTAGGAAAGAAAGAAGGGAGGATGATAACTTGTGGAGATTTCAGAAATTTAGGAAAGTTTTTTTTTGGTGGAGTTTTTTTGGTTGTTGGTTTAAAAAAATATTAGGAGACCTGACTGTATTTATTGGCAGAGGGGGAAGGATCTAGAGAATAACAACAATGAAGCCAGGACTGGAGGAACTGAGAGATAATGGGACTAAGGGACACATGGCAGGGTTAGCTTTGGCAAGCCTGCTCTGCAGACTGATGGGGAGGAGTGAAGACAGAAGTTCTGAGATGAGTTCCCATAGAGCTCATCATACCATATTTGAATGACAGAAAAAGTACTTAGAAAATAATCACATTGGGAAACTACATTTTTACCAAGAGGGTGATTTCCATAAGCTTTTGTGCTGCATTGTTACATGGTGGTACATAAGGTCTATCTCAGGGGTGGGGAACCTGAGGTCTTGAAGCCACAAGTGGCCCTCTAGGTCCTTGGGTGAGGCCTTTTGACTGAGTTCAAGTTTTACAAAACAAATCCTTTTTGGGGGGATTTGTTCTGTGAAGTTTGGATTCAGTCAAAGGACCCCACTTGAGGACCTAGAGGGCCACATATGGCTTCAGGAGACAGGTTCCCCCTAGCACTGGGATATATAGTAAGTGAATAGTTTCTTGTGGTAAGTCTTTCCATATATCTACCTTGAAAACATTGATAACTCTTGCAAACCCCAACTATGCTTATTTTTCACATTTTTTTTCTTAATTCTTTGGACAGTGATTAAAAAAAATTGGTAAATATTTCTGACCCCATATAATTTAGATGAAATGCTAGGAAGACCCATTAGCCCAGGAAAAGAAATAAAATATTTTCTTCCTGTATTTATTCCTCCTGTTTTTATATTTGTTACCTTTATAGCATGAAGGTAAATGTTAGGTATTTGCATTTAATCCTGCTTTAGCAGCTTGAATCATACCAATAATAAATTGTTCAATTGTCAGGAGTATGTAAATATTGGTTCTTCAAAAACTGAGTGATGAATTGAGATAAACCTAGGAGACATGACCTAGGTGCCCAGGATCATCCTTTAGGCCACACAGAGATTTAGGTCTACCAAAAAGCCCACCAGACTCAGTTGACTATACAAAGAGGCTATTCAGTTTCTACAACTTGGGACTCCTACTCCAGACTTGGGACTCCAGACTCAGCTGGATTTTTTTCTCTTAACTCCTTCTCTCTTTTTAAAATCTATGAAATCTGCGTACTGTCTTTATCCTAGTAGGCAGTGAGGGGGTGCAGTAGATAGAACATAGGACCTGGAGTCAGGAAGACCTGGGTTCAAATCTTGGCCTTCGACACTTTTGTGACCCTGCGCAAATCATTTAACATTTTCCTCAGTTTCTTCATCTGTAAAATGGAAGTAATAATAGCACCTACCTTTCAGAATTGTTGTGATGATCAAATGAGATGTTTTGAAGGTACCATATAAATGCTAGCAATTATTATTATTCATCTAGTTCTTTAATTTTCACTGTTAAACTTTCTCCCATGGTCTTCTCTGTAAAACATTTTTCTCCTTAATGACCTTCTAGATGTGATTGGGAAGGGAATAAGCATTTACTAAGCACTTATTATGTGCCAAGCACTGTGCTACTATCTCATTTGATCCTCCAACAGTCCTGGGAGGTAAGTGCTATTATTCCCAATTTAAAGGTAAGAAAACTAAGCAGAGGTTAGGTGACTTGCCCAACGTCACTCAGCCAGTAAGTGCTAGAGGCTGCATCTGAATTCGGGTCTTTCTGACTCCAGGCCCAGGATTCTATCTTCTGTATCTCCGAGATGCCCCTATGAAATATCACTGTATGCACAAACCTTCCCTAAGAATAGTGATAACAAGGTAATCCTGTACTTCAAACCAATTCTGAAAAATATTTTACACAACAATACAAAAGCCCTGAACACAAATTTTACTTGTCTTTTAGTGGTAGCCATGTTTTAATTGTTTATTTGGTTA